GTGTGTGTGTGTGTGTGTGTGTGTGTGTGTGTGTGTGTGTGGGAGATTCAGATTGTTGTAGAATGAGATTTCTCTGGTGGCTTCATTGACAACACATGGACTCACTTAAGGGAGAGAGGGAAAAAAAACTGGGGGGAGAAATTCCATCCTGAGTTTGTGCCGTCTAGACAGACGGGTCGGGGGTAACTCTACTCAACCACAGACGGCATCTTTTTTTTTTTTTTTGTCTTAGTCGAGCTCTTTAATTGAGTCATTGAAAAATTGAAGTTGCTACTCAGTGACCCCGGCTGTTTCCACAGAACATTTACAGGCCATGTCTGCCGAACTCCAGGGTCTCCCCTCCTTAACTGGCCTCACTCTCTTTTTTTTGCAGGACCAGCGGGAGAGTCAAGAAGTGGTCCCCCAGGTCCTTCTGGCTCCGCTGGGCCTCGTGGCCCTCCAGGTCGTCAGGGTACTCCAGGTGTACGAGGACCACCTGGACCCCCTGGATACTGCGACTCCTCTCAGTGTGTTGGCATTCCTTACAATGGACAGGGATACACAGGTACACTCGATAATATCCAAGTCCTGCATGACTCACATGAGAAAATAGACTAAATGTATGCACACTAATGACATTTTGAACTTGTTGCTTAAGTTTATTGATAATGTATGGAGGTATTAATGTGGGTGTTCCCAATTGGTTTTGAACAAAGAGTTCTGTCCTTTTCAGACTTGATGCAAGAAGGGAAATTTAGTAAAAATGCAGCTGATGCATCTCACAATTATTATTATTATTATTTTACATCTAATATACTTTTGTTGTTAAGGTTTAATTTAATTTATTTGGAAGGGACAATGCACATTAACTGGCATTTCTGTAAATTTTCATCTTTTGTCCCTGTTAAAAACAAGAGAATCGCATGATTTCAAAATGTTAAAAAGGTCAAATCTTGGCACATTTTCACAGCAGCTGTTCTGGAGAGGCGGACAACTATTTAATTCCTCCATACGTTTAACGWCCAGTTTTGAAAGTTGCATGAAACCATTTGAGCTATTAATGTATGATGCTTTACATTCATCAAAAAGCTAACAACTTTGTCCCACAGAGAAATCTCACTACCCTTTTTGAACTGTTTCCAGGTTTGGCATAGTAAACTTTCTAAGTCCTCTGTGCCGCTTACACTCTGAAGTCCTGTTTCTGAGATGTTTGCCCGTTTGCTTTGAGGCTTGCAAGGATAATCACCATGGACATAATTGCTGAACATTAAAAACAAACATTTCAAAAGCCCCCCCAAAAAAAGGAGAGAAAAGAAAAGAAAAGAAAAGAACAAATGGAATGGAACGTACTGGCACTAATATATCACAGCTACAAGCTACAGTGATGGCAACCTGCTGGCCTGTTTGCATCTTTAACCACAAATCGTTGGGAATTATTAAAACAGGGACTGAGCATTTCTACGAAGGAAGCAGCATGTTCAAACACCATCCATCGCAACTACTAACAAAGAGGATCACAGATAATTAATGTTAAGGTGACATGTGTAAATAAAACTATTTTTTTTTTGCTTTGTAAATGAACCAGGACGTTTCACTAAAAATCATGTTAACATCTTTATTGAGCTTGTGCCTCATAACTCACTGCTTACTTACCATCAGCATAACCCTTTTTTTTACAACACCTAAGTGACTTTTGCAGCTCTGGTCCAGACTGAAGCATGTTTCATACAAGTTTAATTATGGCCTTTATTTAAATTGGCCAAATAAGTGCAATTCCCCCCACTCCCCCGACTGTCATTTCATGTTTCTTTAGTCTTATCAATTGGTCATTTGTACTGTAGCTTAATAAATGTCATATCAAATTTAACTGTAAAGCATTTTGGATCTTATTGCAACAATTCAGATCTTTTAAAGTTGGCTTCTGTGGAAAGGCTATGAATAATACACTGCAGCTCTTTAAACATCATTTTTGCAGAAAATAGAGATTTGTTTAGACATGGTTAGCCTGAGCTGGGCCAAGAAGACCAATGTGGATTGCTGGTTTTAAAACAACTCCAATCTCAAAAGATTTGCTAAAGTTCGTGTGAACACTGTTTAAAAATCTTTGCATCGATACCAGTTTCAGATTACACAGTAATTTTCTTTAAATTCTATGGTTATTTGAAGCAAATAATGGCAACTCTGAAAACTGCAACATCATTTTTCTAYGAGAGTAAGAGTGTAATACAGAATAACTCTTTAAAGGGTTATAAATATTCATCAACCGCTATGGACAAATTTTTTTTAGACTGGAGTTGTTTTAAGATGGCAGTAATCCTCTTTGATGTTGGTTTAATTCTCCAGACAGAATTACGATTCCCCCCCCCCAGCTAAGAACGATCTACAGCAAGTAAGATTGTTCATAACCTTTGCACAAAATCTCACTTCAAATAACCTGATATGAGTTTTTAACCCACAGTGGAACTGTGTATCGATTGTTTACATGAATGGTTGTTGAAGCAACCCATTTTTTGATTGGCCAAATGCTTTTCTAGACCCCCGCTACCAGCCTGAACCTATACCTGTGGAGCCAGTTGGAGAGGTTGAGCCAATACAATCACGTGGTTACACAAGAGGCCAGCGAAGAAAGAGATCACTACCACAAGACAATACAGGGAGTCTAACATCATAGCTACAATCAGAAACTCTCAGACAGAATGCTATTAAAAAAATAAGAATGTCGTAAACACTTGAGATATAATCAGAACAAAACTAATACTTATATGGGTTTGATACCTCTGGCTCTATTGAACATTTATATATATATTATTTTTTTGACATGAGAAAGTTTAGCAAGATGAATAGAAAGCTTTATGTTACAAACCTGTGTGCTTGCTAAATGTTTCCCTTCAGTGTCTGCTTGTAAAATAACTGCAGGTGTTTCAGACTCCAGCTTGGAAAGCACCAATCGTGTGAAAACCAGCAAAGCATAACTAGTACAATATGTGTGGAGCTTAACTGCAACAAAACAATGTTGTTTTTTCATGTTCATTTTCAAAATCTGTTGTTCTGTTGGTTAAAGACCAAAATATTTGAAACTTTTTTTTTAATTTTGCTGTTTTGTGCGGCCTGTAAGCAATAYGGCAATCTGACTGTAACAAATCACAATTTGTTTTTGTTTTTTGCTTTGTTGCCAAAAAGGTAAAGATGCATGATTGTGTTGTATATTTACTGAGGTCAGAATATAGTTGTTGTTGTTTTCGGTCAAAGCAGTTTGGATTCGGTGGCAAAACTATTGATAGGATTGCTTTTCTCATGTTTCAACTGCACAATTTGTGAATTACACACAGCCTTATTTTCTTATTTATTTCTGAAATGGAAGAGGCATTTTTCAATAAAACTACTGAAAATGTTTGTTTTGGCTTTTTCAATCATTTTTTTTATTTTTAGATCCCAGAATGATGAACTAAACCATTATGTGCACAGTATGTTGTGTATGGAGCCAAAGCTCTGTTGGCAACACCATCACAGCGGCTGCTGTCAGATCTAAACTCCTCCAGACGAGTTCATTTGGTCACGAGCAAAAAAAAAATAATAACAATAACTCTTCAACACAAGTCTGCGAGAGATATGCTTTGAATTCCTAACTTTTATTTATTTTGACAGCTAAAGATATTTTTTAGCTCTCCTGAAAGTCAATTTCAAAAAGGGAAAACTTTACCGTTGTGACTTTTATACAACAAACGCTTGGAATTTTTGCTATCAGGTCCCAAAGATCATCCAGATATCTCCAAGGAAACAATGCCAGTGCATTTCAGCCGATATTAGCATTGCACAAATTTGCACTTGTTGAGCATGTCTAATGGTGCAATAAGAGCAATACGAACGGTTTGTTTAGATGGAAGCAAAACATTTTTGAGGAGTTCTGCACAAATGCCRGAGATTACAGCTGGGAGTGAGGTTCTGAGGTCAAGATCACCACAACAAGATGACATGTGAAGATTCCTTTCAGAAAGCCCTTTAATGTTCCATCCTCATATCTTGATGTCCGCAAAGGAATTGTGAAGCACCCACGGAAAAACTACTCAAAGTTTATAGATGCTTTTACTTGATTGAAATTTGGCAAAAGTAGAGTGTGAGAGTGCGTGAGCAGCTGGTACGTGTCAGTCATCAAAGAGACAGCATGGGTCCATCTGTGTGAAAAGTACATTCCAGTATAGGAGCACATAAATCCACAATCTTAGACTTGGTACATTATTTCAAGATTTTTTTCCCCTGAAAGCCTATAGTCTTAAAAATACTTCAAACCCCACACTTCTCTACACTTAGACTTATTGACCCTGTTGAAATATGTGAAATGCCATTCATATGTCTCAGCATCAGGCTCTGATTTTTGCTGAAATGTCAATATGAAATTACCTAAGGCAGTACTGAGGCCCATAAGTATTTTTTCCTGCTGGAGCCAAATCAAGCAATACTTTCCAAAAGCATAAAGYTTTATTGATACCTGACACTATTCTCACTGTGCTGTTTCTGGTTTCTATAAGGGAATATTTATTCAAGGTTGTTGATAATTCAGAGGGCATCTGTGTTCACTTTGTGTTAAAAGTTCCAAGTAGACTGCTGGAGTTCAGTTGTTGCAGATTTCAGTTTGATTTTACTTCATCTCCAGTCGTTACTTCATGGAACGGCACCAAAAAGTTATTTTCTGCAGCAGAGGATAAAACTGCTGGTGATTGTGTGAAGTTTTAATCCCGCCCGCCACATTAAAAAAAAATAAAAAACTCAAGAAGAGATTGACATTTTCTTCCAAAGCTGACTATTGTATAGTAAACAAATGCCACTCTCACATCCAACTGTGACTATCTGTAGTAAATCAAAGATCCCGAGGACCCAATGATCCTAACTTGTGATTAAACAAGATGTTTAATTCTCTAATCATAGAAGGTCAGACTTAATGCAGAACCTCCCAAAGGTAACTATTCTTTCCAAGCATCCTAAAAAGAAAAAAATATATATAACTACCTGTACCTTTTCCATAGCTGTTGGAAAGTTTTGCTCCTATTCAAAATAAATTACTCAACGTGTTAAGAAATAAGTTAAGATTTAGATTTGAGTCAAAACACTTGAACGATTAATGTGGACCAACAGAGTGCTGAAAACGAGATCTTAAGACTAGATTCTTGGCAACAGAGAAACTGAGGAAGAACCACCATCAGGCCATGTGACTTAAACTCCAAATGTAGACGTTTAATAAAACAGGAACCACTGAAACGTATAGTTGCAGTAACAAATAACCTGGAGAATTTAAGACTGCTAGAACTTGAGTGACCAGAAACACAAGARCCATTTGGACTATGAGAAATTGGCAAATTTTACCTCTGGGATCATAGATTATTAAGACCATAGAAATGGAGGACTTTGGCTTTGAGCCATAGGACTGTTGGAACGCATTTCCCTAAAAACATTGCAACTCTGGAAACACAAGTCTTTCGGAACATAGAACTCTTGCAACCAGCCTTGGCAGAATACGGCAGTCAGAATATTAGGGTTAGGACCATGGGGATGATTTGAATTTATGACTTGAAACCAGTCAATTTTTYGGATTTAGTGCTCTGAAAACACTGCTACCCTGGAACCTTGAATCACTAAAACCTACCTTGAGAAAGCAAGGCCCTCGAACTGTAGGACTCCTGGAACTTATGACCCTGGAAACCTTTAATAGGACAAAAAAAAAAAAGGAGTAAAGATCCTTGTGACCTTTGAAACAAAAAGACCAGAAACATAAGATACTTTTAAATCAGGACAAAAGGTAACAGAGAAGCCTGGGATGATGCGATCCTGACCATAGAACCCGGGGAACATGAGATCTTTGGAACAAAGAACTCTATAGGTAGATAATGGGAAGATGGGAGTCATTAGCTTTATACAAAGATTAACAGAAGACATTTACAAGGAGACAAGGCCTTGAAAACCTCATGAGTTTGATGCTTATGGAGCTTAATTTGAGTTCTTCTATTTTATATTTTCAGACTTTTAGCATTTAGTCAATCCATGAAAGAAATGTGAAACAGCACAATGCAACAGTCGGTAATGTTTTRCTCAACTTTGAAAAGGTTTTGACACATGAAAGGTTAAAATTACAAGTCTGAAAGAGCTGTACAAAGACCAGGTCTCAGCATGGAAGGAGCAGATTCCTATCAGCTGTGCATTACAAACCTTGGCTCAAAGTTCAAAGCAAATGAAACTCACCACAGCAACGCATCGGTTCCTGATTTACTGCAAAACTGATGGAAAAAAACACAGATAGAATCTTGCACCCTTTTTCAGCAGTTTACATTTACCTCTAATAACTGCGGTATTTTGTGAGCTTTTAACACTGCTACATGATATAAAGAAAATCAGGCACCAAATGTAAGTCTAGAATTTAGGAGCTTAAGAGATAGAAAAGCAAAGTTTTATACTGACTTAAGAATGCTATTAAAGCACTAGCATGCACCCTCCAGTCTGCACTCATTTAAAGTTTTGATGGTTCTTCTTGTCTTGCTTGCACCAAAGCAATCTGGTAAGTAACAAAAAATTGGAAAAAGGTTGCACATTTTTAAAAGAGCCTCAGCAGATGTCCAGATGAAGCGTCAGGTTTTTTCAAAAATCACAAGCAAATTTCATCCAATTGGACGGCCCGAGCAGAACCACATGGAACCAGTCAGCAAATAGAAGCCACAACTGTTGGTTGTTAGACATGAAACTTGCTCGTAGCAATTAGTTTGCAGACGTGAATGGTCCAAATTTTGTTTTGGCAACAAACAGAAAGTTTGGAGTGTGGGTGCAGAGGAAAAGGATGTAAAGCTTCCAACAAAAACCAACAGATTCTTATGGTATTCAGTTTGCAGGTAGGGTTTTGGGCCATCATGCTCGTTAAATTATTGTGCATTCTACGTTAACAAACTCAGACAGGCTTTAATTTTGACTTTAAAAAAAGGGAACAATGTGCAAAGAAGTCCTGTGCACCAAAGCAGCCTTGAWTCAGAACAGCGTGGCTTTAATGCCGGGTCTGCCAACTAAAACCAGAGGAAGGAATGAAGTAGCCCTTTTGAACTTGAAGGAGGCTTTAACTCCTCAAAGGGCAAATATTCAGTCAGCTCACAGACAGTAGGTTTCCATTTGCTGAGATGCCAAAAGCAACAGCGGAGCAGTACTTACTCCCTTTTGAATATGGCAGAACTAACAGGTCTCCAGCTGACATTGTAAAATCACAGCTCTGGTCGAGAATTTGTCCTTTTAGGAAAAAAAAAAAACTTGTCCTCATTTGCCCTACCTGTCACCAAAATGTCTGAGCAAGATCAATTGCAGCATTATTTACAGTTAAAATCACAAGAAATTAATTCCAGTATTTAAAAAAATGTCTAAAATATTAATTTTCAACATTTGACAACTTTTCCTGTGGCTCCACCTACTTGGAAAGTTAAATTTTACTCCACTACAAATATGTAGTGCAAATAAAATGATCAAGTTTATTCAAAAAAAGGCTTGTGCAAATWAAAATACATTTCCACATCTTTGTTCAAACTTACAAGCCACCCAGGAACCATGATCTGCGTGGGTCTACTCTTGTTGGTCTCTAAGGTCCCACGTTGCTTATGCAAGCCAGGCCGGGCCGGGCCAGGCCAATGTTGTGAAAGTCCTTCACCCTGTTCTCAGCTCTACCCTCCTTCGCAGGAAGTATCACGCGGAGCGCAGCTGTGGAGGTCGCTGGTTGAAGGCCAACAAGTGTTTTGATCCCTCTGCTGATCTTATAAAGATTGAACCGATGCTGCAGGACGAGCTGTGGTGGTGCATTTCTGGAAGGATGAGGGTGGTCTCACACGCTTTATTGTTGTGACTCTGGAGCTAGTGAAGTGACACTGAGCATCTTTGTGATGAGAGAGCTGTTGATGTGGGAGGAAGTGGGAGATGAAAATAATCTATCGTGTCTCAAGTCAATAAAAGTGGACAAACCTGCCCGATATTTCACAATGATGGTGTTTATTCATGAGCAGATTTAAAAATGTTTGAACGTTTTGCATTTGAATTCTTCCAGGCAACAGGAAGTCTTTAMAAAAAGAGATCCATGTTTCTTGTTTGATCCATCTAACTCTTATTTTCAAGTGTTTGCAAGTGAGGTATGACAGTTTCACACAAATCAAGCATCACAACAGCTCAAAGTGACTCTGCTTAGTGTGTTTCACTGAAAACCTCAGAAAATAAAGAGGAGTTGTAAGTCAGTTTGATGACGTATGTCTCAAAGCTGAAGAGAAAAACACTTTTGAGAAGATGCCATCTGCGGAGTCTTGTTATAATTAAGCTGCTTGTAAATAAAGAATGGTTTATAAGAGACAGCAAACTTTTCTCATTCTTAGTATCACAGCTATGAA